TCCTCCTATGCATGCTAGTGTGTGTGTGTGTGTGTGTGTGTGTGCGTGCGTGTGTGCGTGCGTGCGTGCGTGCGTGCGTGCGTGCGTGCGTGTGTGTTAGCAATGCCTTGAGCTATATAACCGCATTTAACTGCTAATGTATCCGTCGCTGCGCGAAACCACGTGCCGACCGAGGGAGGGCACTCATTAATGACATTACGAGTGTGAATTGATCAGAGAATCAGCCATCCGTATCGATTTCAGGATGAGCGTGTTCCCCAACGGCTCGCTGTACTTTGAGCGAGTGAAGGGCGGCGACGCGGGTATCTACAAGTGCGTTGGACTGAGTGCGGACAGCGCTGCGGGAGAGCAGACGTACCAGGCTGAAATCAAGATCGCTAGTATGTGTGTCGCGGTGTTTGGTTATCGACAATGTGACTTAATTGTGTGCACAGTGGTCTGCGTCCTTACTGGAAGTCAGCGTTAGTAGTACTTAGTGAATTCGAGGAGAAAATCTTTAGTGGAAAAATGAAAACGAATGAATGAGTCAAAATGAAAACTTGGAATGAAAATTGAAGTTGGGAGGAAGAAATGTCCTAGATGCGCTGCTGCTCTACTTTTATTTACCATTGTGTTGTACACTTTGATCGGGTTTTGTGGATTTAGAATTAAATTCAAATAACAGAATTATTATCATTTAAATTAGTTGATTTAGATTTATTATTGAAAAGTTTCAAATATTTACATTGATATTAGTTATATTTACATTTATTTACATTTATTTTACATTTATTTACATTTATATTAGAACATAATGGCCATGATGATCAGACATAGCGATATTAGAAACCTTCTCTTGTTTTGTTTCAATCCATTGTAAATATGTTGATAATTAAAGCTTCCACTAAACCTTCCTTCCTTTCAGCGATCCACGATCTAACAGGAGGTTCGTTTGAACCTGCTGTAGAGGACAACCGAGTGACCATCGTTCCACTGAACAACAACTTTGAGATGACCTGTGTTAACCCTGGCGGTTACCCTTACCCGTCGCTGAGGTGCGTTCAATGTTCAGTGATTCTTGGGGAAAAATAGACGACACTTAACAAATCTGAACTAAAGAAATCTTTCCCCTTCTCAAACCATTAAAATCACCCCATTGCCCTTGCTTTTATTTGATCAAATTTTGAAAAAAACAACAACCAAGAATGTGAGTTTTAATGGAGAGATTTAGCAAATCGAATCTGTGTGTGTAAAAGAAAGTGTTGATGATGATGAAAACGATTGAATGCTAATTTTCATAGTTAGTGTCTTTATAGTTAAATTTTTATACATTTAATTTTTCAAGTCTTAACCATTTTTAAACGCAGTTAATAGGCCGCCTATGATCATTAACTTAATTAATAAAAAAATCGGCACACTACCAGAAATACATGAGCTACGACCTCGACAAAATACGTTCAGCAGTATGACGCAGGACTCTGTGTCTGTGCAAACGGCTGAACGCGTGATTGTGTTGCGCAGGTGGGACGACCCGTCCGGCAACGCGATCGGCGCGACGTCACGCGTGCGCGTTGAGGAGGACGGTAGCCGCCTGGTGGTGGACGTCGTCAGACAGTCGGACTCGGGAAACTACAGCTGCGTGGTCAGCAACATGGCCGGCGTCAAGCGCAACAACATCAAGCTGGTCGTGTCGGGTACGCACGCGTGCGCGAGGCTGGCGGGGGCGGGCTGGGGGACACAGACACCAATACAAGCAAATACTGATACATGCAGACACCAACACATGCGCACACACACACAGACACTGATGTATGCGAATACTGATACATGCAGACACCAACACATGCTTACACACACAGACACTGATGCATGCAAATACTGATGCAGACACCAACACATGCTTACACACACAGACACTGATGCATGCAAATACTGATACGTGCAGACACCAACACGTGCAGACATACACACAGACACCGATGCATGCAAATAGTTTTACACACAGACATCAACACGCATACACACACAGACACTGATGCATGCAAATAGTTTTACACACAGACATCAACACGCGCGCACACACACGCAGACACCGATGCATGTGAATACTGATACACGCAGACATTGTTATGCATGTAGACACACCGTATATATACTGCACGCACGCACGCATGCACAAATATATGTACGTGCACATGTACATATACATAGACCTATAAACATGTACATGTACATATACATATGTCTATACACATGTACATGTACATACTATACATATACAGGGTGAAAAATTAAAGCGAGTCCGGAGTCAAATACTCCCTGATTTTCTGTCGGACTCCCTGATTTGACATATGCAGGAGTCCGTGTGACTCCCTGAAAATTCTGCTATACTAACTAGTTCGTTCTAGAGCACGGCCTTGCGGAATTGCCATATTTTTTCAGCAAATGGCCAAAGACAATTTGGCAGACGTGCAACTGCATGAATCTTCAAAATAAGCACTTCATTAAGCACAAATTGAACTTCAGACTGCGGACTCCCTCATTTTGAGGGCAGGGAGTCCGTTTGACTCCCTTGTTCAAAAGTTCATTTCTACCCCTGCATATATCTAGACACATGTACATTTTACATATACATATACCTATAAACATGTACATATACTATACATATGTGCTATGGTACATGTTTACAGCAGTGTAGCACGGTGGGTAAAAAAAATTGGCATTGGTATACCTGGTATTGAAATGGTAACTCTCCCCGAAATCTCCATACATCTTCAACAAAACCATCTGCTCGTGAATCTTAGACATCTAAATATAATAAAAAAATTTAAAATGTATTATAATAATGAACTAAAATAAAAACAATATTATAATATTAGTAATATAAAAACAACCATGTCGTCTTACAGTTGAGCCAAAGATCACGCGGCATCCCGAGTCCATGATGGTAGAGGAGAGTAAGACTGCGTTGTTTCACTGTGACTACACGGGTAGTCCTGCTCCCTACACCACGATCACGTGGACGAGGAACGGCAGCGAGATTGAGCTGGTGAGACGCTTCTACGTCCCTTCCACGTGCGATCGCATTCGTAGTGACTCCTCGGTTTGCCACGACGATGTCTAACGGGTCATCGAAGGTTTTCTGGCGACTATCCGAACTTCTGTTCGATTGTGATATGACGAGGGTTGCACTTAGGGGTGCTAGGGAGTCCTTAGAGCTGGAACAGTATTAGTCATTGCCTGCTATTTGTTTGTTATAACAAGTGTAGTATTTCGGTCGCAATGTTAATCCTAGTGTTTGAAATAGCAACCCCCGTCCCCCAGTTTGGGATGGGTAACTTTTCTGCAGGACTGGGTGATTATTATTAATTTTACTGTAGGTTATGTAGTAGAAATCAAAATTTTCGAAATCGGGACTGGCTTGGGTTTCAGACTTATTTCCAAGACACCTGATACCACATTATATATAATAAAACAATATATAATAATATATGTATATATATATAAAACAAATATTAAGAAACATAAAGTGGTAATGAAATGAGGGGGAGCGGCTTAACTCTGCGTCGCTCCATCGCTCGATCTGGGTAATGACACTTGTTTTTCTACTACGTTTCAGCGGCACGCCGGCAGGTGGCGCTTCCTCGACGACGGCGGGCTGGAGGTGAGCGATGTTCGGCTGAAAGACGCTGGCCGCTACGCGTGCGAGGTCGCTACCCGCGGCTTCCCCGCCGTGCGATCGCGCGCCGCCACACTCGACGTCAAAGGTAGTGTAGAGCGGACGCGGTCGCCGACGGTTACGACGACGCGACGTGAGTAAACACCCTCCCTCCGTGCGCCGCAGTGGTCAATCCGCCAGAGGGAGCTTTCCTCATTTATTTTTGCATTCGTATTGTTTTCGTTGTGGTTTTTTTTCCATTGTCTTATTTCTGTTTCTTGTGCGTATGTCCTCTTGTATGTCCTCGTTTCCCCGTTGTTGTGGCGACGGGTGTGGTAGAAATGATTGACAGGTGTGGTGTTGCTGGGTGACTTGTGGTAGTGAGTCTGTGTTGGTACGTCTCGTCCGTGTTGTTGTTGTGGCGGTGGTTGTGGTAGGGAGTGCTAGTGACGACACACTCAACTCTGTTAACAAACACACTTGTCACGCTGTGACTAATCTTACGTATCTACCTCGCGTTTCCACGTAACTTGCCACGTCTTGTGTTTCTGTCTCGTTTTGTTCACGTTGGATGTGAGTGTCTCTTCTAGTGTATTAAAACTTGCTATCCCTAAAAATTATTTTCATCGTTGACATCGTTGTTCACCGTCCGTTTGTTTTTTGTTGCACAGTGACCATGCTGTTTTGTGTGTATAATTTCACCTCGGGATTGACTGTGGCACAAGGGTGTTTGCACACGCACATAGATAGCTCCGTGTATTTTAACACGATATTTAATTAAATTATTTAATTAATTAATCAGGAAAAGGATATTTTATTATCTAATTGAGAAATATTCTATTCATTCTTGATTACATAGAAGATGCAAAGGATAATAATAATAAAATATTGTTATTTTGTATTGATCAGTTTCATTTCATTGTTCTATATTTATGACCTTATATTATTTTGGTATCGATATCATGTCATTATATTGTTTTTCTCGACTGGCTTTGAGCCGACTCATCGTATTATATGCTCATCAATTAATATTAACTTTTTTTATTATATATTTATTTTATCTTATTTATTTTCAATATGTTGTTCTTTATTTATTTCATTTTTTTGGCCAAATTACCACAATGACTATTTTCCATTCCTATATTCCATGAATGCTATTGTTTCTTTTTTCACGCAGCAACTCTCACAAGTTATTATCACTGTCATCATCATCATCATCATCATCATCACCATCATCATCATCATCATCATCATCATCTTCATCATCATCATCATCATCATCATCATCATCATCATCATCATCATCATCATCATCATCATCGTTATTATTATTATTATTATTATTATATTCGTTTTCATTATATTGTTCTTCATTGATGTCGTTTCATCATTCTCTTATACCTCTCAATCGAGAGTATTATATTCGTATTATATGCCGCTACGTGATTGGTTGCGCAGAGACGCTCAAGTTCACGCCGGAACCCGTAAACAAGAGGCTAGAGCTCGGCGGCGACGGCAAGCTGTGGTGCAAGGCTTCGGGCGTCGTCCCTCCCAAGATCACATGGGTGAAGGTGTCGGATGGTGGGCGCGCACAGGTGACATGGCCGGACCACATCACCGACAGCAACGGAACGCTGATAGTCAAGTAGGTGCAGCCGGGGGCACGCCGGTATCCTAAAGTTAGTGTTAACATTAGTCTTGACATCAACTTTTTTTAGTAGAGTGTCGACAGAGAGTTCAGAGTTTTCTCGTACGCAAGTGTGTAGAGGGTGTGGTCTGTGGGAAATGGTTAATGTCAAGATTAATACCAAGAGTAATTTTGTTTCTGATAATGTGGCGCAGAAACATCCTAATCGCCACGGTGACAGAAAGTTTGTCGGTGTAGAGTCTGTAGACATCATAGTGTGGTATTTAGCTGACGTCCTCTGCTTCATGCATAATGTGCGTAACAGTAATGACGCAAATAATGCAACACTACTAATGGAGAGCGTCGTTTTTCCCAGACATCGTTCTTTCCTCTCCTTTCTCGTCCCACGATGCACTCCGCTCTCTACGGCCGCGACAGGATGTTAGTCTGAAAGTACTATCAGTGAGTGAACTACGGGACAGAAACTACTCTCTTCTCCCGTATCTTGACTTTCTCTTTTCTGTTTTTCCGGACCTCTCGGTTGTGCGTCCGGCGCTCTCTATTCGTGCTAATCTAAGTGTTTGTGACCTGTGTTCTGTGTCCGGCAGGGGTGTGAAGGCTTCGGACGCCGGTCAGTACACGTGCGTGGCGACGAGCGCTCAGCAGGGAGTCATCAACAAGACGATCACTGTTGACGTCATAGGTATCGTCTCTAATAAAATGTCTTGGTTCTTAGAAACGATAAGGATGTAAAGATGCGTAAAAAAATCCGAATTAGAACGCTTTTGGTGACTGTGGCGCTTTTGTGAATATCTGCGCTAAAGGCATTGCTGCACGGTTTGACTGAAACGTTGCCACGCACATTCTGACGTGTCGTTGTCGTGGTTTGCCACGTGCGTTCTATTAAGAGATTTTAATGTTAATGGCGTCGCACGTCAGAAGCACGCGCCCACGAGCGCGAGCCATTAATATTTTGCATAAATTACCACGCTAATAATAAGACGTGACATCACCTCGTTCATCCGTCGATGAAGGATTTCCCATTGTGGCGCGATGTTCTGTGAGCGCGGTTTCTCACTCCACTCACTCTCTCTAGTAGTTTCACACCACCGTAAGTTGTCCCCACGTGTCCTGACGCGTCATCGTCATTGTCGTTGATCGTGCAGTAAGCAGCAGCAGCAGCAGCAGTAGTAGTAGCAGTTGTAACAACAGCATCACACTATCGACCAGCATTAAAAAAAACATCGAGTCATTCAGGCATATTTCATCAACTCTCTGCCACCGACATCTGCTCGGCGTTGATTGAAGTGAAGGGATGCTACTGCTATCCGCGCTATATTGTAAGAAAACACGACCATGACGAGACGCTAATGACAGTTTCCGGCACGTTTTGTATTTTGAATCCTGGAAGCCGTTGCACGCATGTGTGCACAACAGAGGTAGCGGTGTGTGGGGGGGATGACGCAGACATCACCCAGTGATGGCCGATTGCTTGTGCTCCAATAAAGCTTAGACATTCGTTAGCTTTTCCGTCTGCCGTGCGCGAGAGCGAGTCGTATAAGAACTCGCGGAACTCGCGCGAGCGTGGAACTAAGCCACGCGAATCTCGTCGGTCGTGCAAATTAAGCGCCGCATTATAAATTTCTTTATAAAATTTCTTCGGTTTTCTTTCGTAACTCGTTCATCCCGAGCTCTGCTGTTTAGTGGCCATTTGTGGCTAAATAACCACTGTGCTCGGGAGGTGGCGTGGGGGGGTGGGGTAATGAAAACATGCTTTGTTCTCTCATCAATATTCAGCTAGAACCTGTTGCCCCTGCTGTTAGTTCAGAAAATCCGCATGTTGAAATTGCTGTGGCAAAAATCGATATTACTCTCAAAATTAATGAGAAAAATATGATACTAATTAATCTCTATGAATAAACCTAAACTTGTTATAGATACTATTTAAACAACGCATAATTAAACACACGTAAATAATTTTATATTAACTAAATGGCTTCACATTAAACGTTGACGTTATTCTGCGTGACCGCTCACCACCAGGTGGTGCCACCTTCTCCCATCATAGACTAACCCCCGTCTCTCTCGCTTGTTCTCTTGCAGGGATTCAGCATGACACCGAGGTACGTCTACGCAGCCCCGCGACTAGCGACGCCATCGTAGAGGGCGCCGACGTCGTGCTGCGCTGCAACGCCAGGGGGCGCCCCGAGCCGGAGTACGAGTGGTACAAGAACAGCATCCGGCTGTTTGAGTCGGACCGCGTCGCGATCGATGGACGCTTGCTGACGCTGCGCGGCGTCGCGTCACGCGACAACGGCATCTACCATTGCAGCGCCTCGAACCGCGCCGGCAGCGTCGACAGCATCACTAACTTCCCACTGACGCTGCCCGGTGAGTAGTAGCAGTAATGGTGGTAGTAGTAGCAGCAGCAGTAGTAGTAGTAGCAGTAGCAGTAGCAGAAGCAGCAGCAGCGGCGGCGGCGGCAGTAGTAGTAGTAGTAGTAGTAGCAGTAGTAGTAGTATTAGTAGTAGTAGTAGTAGTAGTATTAGGAGTAGCAACAGCAGCAGCGGCGGTGGCAGCAGCAGTAGTAGCAACAACAGTAAAAGTAGCAGTAGCAGTAGCAGTAGCAGTAGCAGTAGCAGTAGCAGTAGCAGTAGCAGTAGCAGTAGCAGTAGCAGTAGCAGTAGCAGTAGTAGCAGCAGCAGCCACATCAGTAGCAGCAACAGTAGCAGTAGCAGTAGTAGGAGCAGTAGCAGTAGCAACAACAACAACAACAACAACAACAACAACAACAACAACAACAACAACAACAACAGCTGCAGCAGCAGCAGCAGCAGCAGCAGCAAGCAGCAGCAGCAGTGATGTTGTCAGTTGGAGTAGTAATAGTAACAGTAATGGCTAGTGATAATGTTAGTAGTAGTTGTGACCGACCCTTCACATCTGTCTACAAATTCTGATGTGGGCTTTACTTGCTTTTATGACCATCTCTGTCTCTGTGGTGAAGCCACGCATTAGAGACCCGCTACCAAACGCAGCAGCACCGCAGCGGCTCAGCGTACATGGTTTCTGTTTGATGGGGAAGCTCACTAAAGTGACGCTAATTGAATAAACTTGAATCGAATCGCAAACAGGGACCTCTTCGCAGCCTCTCTGCTCTCATGTTTCGCAATTTAAGCCACGGTGGCACTATGGCTCATGCGCTGCCGCAGCGATAACAGCCTCTTTGCCGGAGCGACGACGGGAACATTGGGGGCGCCGCAGTAACTTGGTGTTATTGTCATTGCAGGTCGCGGGTCTGCGGAGATCGTCGTTCTGCCAACAGATGTGACGGTGAAGAAGGGGCAGTCTACACGTCTAGACTGCCTCTACCGCAACGCGATCGTCACAGAGTGGTACATGCAGGACGAAGGACCGCTGAAGAATCACTCACGGTACTAGAGGCCTGCCTTCTACCTTCTCCAGTCTCCTCCCTGCCCTCCACCTTCTTTCCCTCACCCCCTCCTCTTTTCCCTCCCTTTTCTTTCTGGTCCCTTCCCTCTTCCTCTGCCTCTCCCGTTCCTCTCCCTTTCCCGTCAGCTTTTTCTGCTCTCCATCCTCCTGCCTCTCCCTTCCCTCTCCATTCTTTTGCCTCTCCTTCCCTCTCCATTCTTCTACCTCTCCCGTTCCTATCTTTTTTCCCTTTTGCTCCCTTCCCTCTTCCTTCTCCTGTCTCTCCCATCCTGCTTCTTTCCCTCTCCGTTTTCCTTCTTCTCCCTTCCTTCTCCCTTCTCCTGACTCTCCCATCCTGCTCCCTTTCCCTTCTGCTTCCTTCCACCTCTTTTTCCCTTCTGCTGCCGATAACGTCGTTGCTTGGTTGATTGACACCGTGTGATGGTGTAGGGTCCAAAGCACAGCGATCTAGAAAGGTGTGCTTTACTGCGCTATAGCCTAATGCCCACGAGCGATTGTCCTGTCAGCTTATCCCATAAAGCCCGGCGCACACGTGAGTAATTTTACTCAAGTAAAATGATGCATGCGTCAAAATACTCACGTGTGCGCCGGATTTTCGTTGAGTTTTCTGACGCATGCATCAAGAAACTCAATATCAAACATGTTGGATGATTTTTGCCTTATGCGTCAAAATACTCACGTGTGCGCCGGATTTTCGTTCAGTTTTCTGACGCATGCATCAAGAAACTCAATATCAAACATGTTTTTTGACTCATGCGTCAAAATAATCACGTGTGCGCCGGATTTTCGTTCAGTTTTCTGACGCATGCATCAAG